ACTGCACTCCAGTCTGGGTGACAGAGTGAGACTCCAACTCAAAAAAAAAAAAAATACTATGACTAATATTTCACTTTTCAAAATGTAAGAGAAGAATATCTAAGTTTTAGATTAAAACTACTTGAGATTTCTGGCAGTAAAAAGGCCTTTTGAGAAACTACACAAAATACATTAAAATTTCTAATTCCTGTGCTGTCTGTAGTGGTATTACTTTTTCCATCAGTCACCTCCAAATGAAACAGTTAATGGAGTCATCAGTCTCATTTACAAAGACTGGCAATACTTTTCAGGGTAAATTGTCTTATTGTGAAAATGAAGAATATTTTTAAAAGAAAATCAAATATATAACAGGAAATCTAACACAAAGCACATACAGATATTTGATAAGCGCTCTTAAATTATGCTGGTAGTAGAGAAAAATGTAACGTGAATTCTTATGCTCTATTTATAAGGATGAAGGTTACTTTAGAAAAGGCACCCCCCCCCACCGTCCCCCGACCCACAGCCTTCAGCTCTGGCCCTCCTAATGCCTTGAACACAGAACACCTGGGTTAGACTAGCTGCAACCTGCACTCCCAGCCTGAGATTCTCAAGAGAGACAAACCAAGTCAGATTCAGAATGCTCAGTACTGGGATGGAATGGCAAGAAACAGAAAAACAATGTGTCAAGAAGGTGGTAGTTACCCTTTAAATACATCTTGGGGCCAGGCTTGGTGGCTTAGCCTGTAATCCCAGCACTTTGGGAGGCCAAGGGGAGTGGAATGCCTGAGCCTGCAGGTTCAAGACCAGGAGCCCGGGCAACCTGGCGACACCTCATCTCTACAATAAATAAATAATTAGCTGGGTATGGTAGCGTGTGCCTGTAGTTCTGGCTACTTGGAAGGCGGAGGCGGAAGGATTACCAGAGTCCAGCAGGTCAACACTGGCATGGCCATGAGTGTGCCACTGTACTCCAGCCTGGGCAACAAAGTAAGACTCCAACTCAAAAAAGAAAAAAAAAAATCTCGGTATATGCTTGTTACTCAAGATCCAGTGGCTTTTATAAGTCTTAAAGGTCTTTATTGAATTCCAGTTAACTACCTAATTTATCTAAGTTACCTTGTTTGTAGTTTTATTTAGAATTTCACCTTGTTATGAAGATGTCTGAATAACTTTGATAATTAAATAAAACAAAAGGCAGAATTAGGGAATTTAGCCTGAAATAAGGAACTTTTATTTCCAGCTTAGTGACATACATAAAATTTAAAAATAAAATTTAAGTTAAAAGCGTTTTATGCTATTCATGCCTCTCCTCATGCAAAGAAAACTTGAACTATTTATAAAAAGAAAAAAATGTGAGGGCTAAAATTCTAGAAGTTCTGCTGTGACTTTTATGTTTTACATTGTGACTAGCATCATGGAAGCTTAAGCATTAAGGAAACAAAACAATCCAGTAACCTCCACAAATATCCTGACTGATCAACCTTCAAAAGCAACTTGGCAATATCTAACAAAATCACAACTGCATATAAACTCCTTGACCCTGTAATTCTGCTTTTGGGAGTGTATCTTCAGATCCACCTCAACACCTAAATATTGATGTATGTTCGAAGTTATGTGCATTTTTCAAAGGAGGAAGACTGGAAATATTCTAAATTTCCATATATAAGAGACTGATTGAATTAAACAAGGTACATACCTAAAATGGAATACTATATGGCTGTTAAAAAAAAGGGAAGGAGAGAAAGAACAAGAGATACAAAAACTACATACATATTGCTAACAAAAATCTCCAAGATACAATTTTAAGGAAAAAAATCTGTCTGTCTAGAAGACTGTGTATACGGAGGCTACCTTTATTTATTCTTACATGTCTAAACTTGTTACCTTCAAAATATTCTCCATTTGATGAAATACACCCATTAAGACACTTTTTCCACTGCTCAAAAAACACTTTCTGAACTCACCAATTCTAATTCTTTTAGTGCTTCTGCCTTTTGTTTGTTTTACCCCTTCCACATGGGCAAAACGTTTCCCTTTGAGGACTTTTTTCCTGGAGGGGAAGCCACTTGGGGTGAGATCGGGTAAATGGGGGTGGGGGGGAATGGAGTTAATCCATTTTTGGTCAAAAACTGCTAAACACTCAGCACAGTGTGGGCAGGTTGTTCATGTAAACCACCCATCACAAAATGGGCAAACATGTTGAAAGAATCTTAAAAAAATCCCTGAAGCTGAAGGCAGGCTCTTACAACGCCAGCTGCTACACAGATGCCGATGGGGTCCTAGAACACTCACCTAGCAGGGGAAGCCTTTACTACAAGAGGCCTGCCTTCCAAAAGATAATTATGGGTTTTTTGATCTCCTTTGTGTATTTATGTTTATTTAAAAAAATTGTTAAAGGCTATATACAAAAGAACAAAGCGGAAGGGATAGGGTAGATGGAAAACAGATGAACAGAGTGGACAGAGTGGACTTTTACATATATTTTTTTAAATTTTGAAATGTGCATATACTACCTATTTAAAAAATTAAATTTTAGAATGCAAGAAAGAAAATACAAGCTTAAAAAGCTAGTGGACCTACTTAAAAAAGATAAAAATACATGGAGGTAACAGCAAGGTAGCTCGTAGATGCAGACATTTCTCTACCACACTGTACAAAAACCATCATTATAGGATTGATAATTAAAAATAATGTCTATTTGGAACATAATATAAAAAGCTATCAATTAAATATTTAAAGTGACAGCAAATAGCAATTCAACATTTAAAGAGACACAGTCACATCACATATGTGACATGTATTGATTTATAGAAAAACATCATAATTACCTTTATCATTTCTTCTTCTCCTGCGGTTTTACTTTTTGCTTCTATATCACCTGCATCATTGCATCTAATAAAGCAGCTGTTTGAGGCCAATAAAGCCATTTTCCCCTAAATAAAAATAATAAAAAAATAGAGCAATGAGAATACCTGCAGAAGAGAACTTAAGATGTTAGACTAAATTAGTTTTTCTTTCCTGATTCTAAAATCAGGAAAAAGAGCTTAGAAAATACCTGGAAAATACAAAACATATAGCAAAGAAAACCAAAATCACCTATCATTTTGCTACTCAAAGATTACCAAAAAACATTCTTAATACATTTTTATAGTAGGACTACATTCTAACTAGATGAAATAAAAATTTTTCCTTTGGCCTAAAAGACCTATTGAAGACATAACTAATTCAGTTCAGTTTTTTTAAAAAAATTAGCATTGCAGACAATAATAATTATGAATAATTCTCAATAATTCATTCTAATATTAGTACTTAAAGTAAATTTATTTTCTCCATAAATAGGAAATATAAAAAGATACACAAAATGCCTTTGGTGTCTTTGAATTTAAAAATCATTGTCTGAGGGATTTTTGTGTGTGGAAATATTCACTCTTTTCAGTTGTTTAATGTTTGATGTACTATACTGATTCCTATTAAAACTTTCAATTTTTCAAAGAAATTTAGTTTTCAAGTTCTTGTGTATCTAAACCTAGATTATAATTTTGGTTAATTAAGTTCCCTTAAAAATGTAAAGTTCAATTCTAATTTTTAATTTATATCTGTGTGTGTGTATTTTGAGTCAGAGTCTCACTCTGTTGACCAGACTAGAGTACAGTGGCACAATCACGGTTACCACACCCTTGACCTCCTGGGCTGAAGAGATCCTTGTACCTCAGTCTTCCAAAAAGCTGGGATGTGCACCACCACACCTGGATAATTTTTTTTTTTAATTGTAGAGATGAGATTGAGTCATATTGCCCAGGTTGATCCTAAACTCCTGGGCTCAGGTATTCCTCTCACTTCGGCCTTCCAAAGTGCTGGAATTACAGACGTGAGCCACTATGCCCAGCTGGCTGATTCTTTTGAAAACTTGGAATACGTTAAACATGAGACAAAATATTTACAAATACAGTAATTCCAAAACTTATTAATAGCCTTATATCTAGTTACACATGTGTTAATACACAGATATGATTTAATTTCTTAGTCAAGGTGGCAGAAGCTGGATAGTCTCTTATCTGGATGACTCTTGGTAAGCAACGGGACATGGCTGTATGGTCCAACATGATTTAAAACTGTGCTTCATATAATTTAGCTGAATCCTTTTTTACAACAATTTTATTTAACATCAGGAACTTTTAAGTCTTTCATTTAAATTTAAAGTTTTGAAATTTAGCATCCTTCCTAAAAATGAAATGAACTGAGTTTTCTTAAAGTTTGTGTGATTAGTAGTATCTGACTTATCACCCTGGCCTTATGATATCCTCGCCTTTTCTCTTAGCATAATTTGTATTAAGTATCTCATTATGATTATTAGGATCATCTTGAAGGGGTTACAACCCACGAGTGGGCTATGAAATCAATTTAGTGGTTTCTGATCAGTACAGGTTAAAAAAAAAGGAAAAGGAAAAGACATAGAAAAAGAGGTAAATGAGAATAGACAATATCCGAGTGCATAATGCATGGATAAATAAGTACCGTTAAGTACAACTCGTACTTCAGTTATACACATGCATACAGGGCTGCCATGTAAACTCTCATTTCTTGACGGGTAGGGTCAAAACAGTTTGAAAGTCATCAACTCAAATTTATTCCAGAGGATGGGGAAATGAGCGTAAGTGATTCCTTCCTTTTGAGAGAATGTTTGACTGACATACCACCATGGAAAACACAGTTGAATTCTACTTTGAATTCATCACTTGTACTACCAAGGCTGCTTAATGCCTGAACTACTCTTGCACTTGATTATTTTACTTGGTGTGCAGTATCTACGTTTTAGAGACTGTTTAGTCTTACATTTTTGTTCAATTTTTACTGCTTATATAAACAGAAAAAGGAAATTATGTGTTTTATATTAAAAAAAGATAAACAATCCATATGTTGCAATCACCTACTAATACTAAAATTAATAATATATTAACTTCATCTTTCTTTTGTACTAAAACTATCTTTTTGGTTTTTTTAAACTTTCTGTATACTATTCTGAGCTTCATTATGAACTGAAAGTCTTTTACACACTAAATTTATTTCAATGAACCATTATCATTACTTATTATTATATGCACAAATTGTTACAACTTGGTCTTAGTTTGTGCCACTGTTCTCTTACAGCGGCTAATGTTTCTGAAAGCATCCATGATTTCTGCTAACAAGGTACTCCTTACCTAGTCTGTTTTCCTACCCAGAAACTTAAAATGGGCTAATATACTCTCAAAAATACTGGTTTTTTAATGGAAAATGAGAGACCTATATTAGGCATTAAAGGTGTACAGAAATAAAGGTGGGCAAAAGTACTTCTGTTCTTTTTGTGCACTATCTTCAAGATCTCTTTAAGGTTAAAAGTTCATACTGATTTGTTCCAATTTAGTGTATTATAATATTTTTTTCTATTGTTTCTTGTTTTGTAAAAAAACATGGTATCATTTATCATTAAATGTAAAAGACATTCTCTTACATGAAGCTTTTATGAATAATAATAGCACTTACATCTTGAAAGACAGGTTCCCATTGTTCTCTTGGCCCAATTGCATCTGAACGCCCAACAACAAGTCCATCTGAATTTATACCAAGATATTTTCCATAGCCAGATTTCAGGGCAATTCTTCAGATTAATAAAATAGATAAATGTTAAAAACTGAGAGAAATAAAATTAAATATGGAACATAAAAACAGTATTTTTGTCTGAAGGCATAGGGGGGGGGGTGTGTGTGTGTGTGTGTGTGTGTGTGTGTGTGTGTGTGTATACATACATAAAGTTTCAGGCTAGTGTTCAGTAGCTACATATGGCCAAGTGCTGGCTCACGCCTGTAATCTCAACACATTGGGAGGCCGAGGCAGGAGAATCGTTTGAGGTCAGTCTGGGCAACACAGCAAGTCCCTTCACCCCTATAAAAAAATTAGCCAGGCATGGTGGTAAATGCCTGCAGTCCTAGCTACTTGAGAGGGTAAGGTGGGAGGATCACTTGAGGCCAGGAGTTCGAGGCTGCAGTGAACTATGATTGTGCCACTACACTCCAGCCTGGGCAACACAGCAAGACACTGTCTTTATTTTATTTTATTCCTTTAAAATAAAAAAAGGCTACATGTGACTAGTTGCTGCCCTAGCCATACTGGACAGTGCAGTTCTATTGACAGTTTTATGTTGTTTTTATATAATATAGAAATATATTGTCTTACATATTTTACACCATATATTGTACAGTAAACATTTGCTAAACTCATTATTCTTCAAAATATGCTACTTTTAATAGTTTTAAATGTCCTGTTATAGATTAAAATTTATTTATTTATTTTTTTGAGTTGGAGTCTCACTCTGTCGCCCAGACTAGAGTACAGTGGCCGCTACCAGCCACTGCAGCCTTGACCTGCTGGGCTCCAGCAGTCCTTCCGCCTCAGCCTTTCAAGTAGCCGGAATTACAGGCATACACCCAGCTGATCTTTTGATTTATTGTAGAGATGAGGTCTCACCAAGTTGCCCAGGCAGGTCTCAAAACTGCGGGCTCAGGCAATCCACTCATCTCAGTCTCCCAAAGCCTGGGATTACAGGCTGAGCCACCGAACCCGGCTGTTTAAAATTTACTTTTATGAATAGTCCTATTGATAGCTTTTCTAGACATAAAATTGATTTATCCTTAGAAGAGATTCCTACAAAGGAAATTTTTGGACCAGAGTATAATGTTAAAGCTCTAATGTGCTATCAAACTGACTTCTAGAAAAAGCTGTATCAATTTTCTCATCTGAAATTAAAAGAGTACGTTTTATATTATGAATTTCTTAAACATATGCCTTTACAAAAAACTACTTGAGGTAGAGCAATCACCTAAGCCTAGGAGGTTGGGTCTTCAGTGAATTGTGCCGCTGTACTCCAGCCTGGGCAACAGAGTGAGACCAGACTCTAAATAAATAAATAAACAAACAAACTTGAAAACCAGATGTAGAAAAAACAGCACACAATTTAATTTTCATTTAAGTTATTAACTAAAGTGATATTTACATTTCTTTTCCTTTCCTTATTAGGTTTTAAATTACCTGGTTATGTCCTTTGTCCATTTTTGTATCAGTCTCACTGTTTACCATTTTTCTACTGGGGCCATTAGTGCTATGAAAGCTGCACATATATATGAAGAGTAAGAATTCATTGCGGGAGTTCTGGTAAGATGGTGACGGCATAGGTGGATTTGTGACATGCTCTGAACCTCAAAACTGCAAAAAGTACAGCACACAGCCCACACTACAACCTCAAGAGTGAACAAAGCCAGAGGACCCTCATAAAGAAGAACAGGAGATTATACAAGTGAAACAAAAGCAATCACACCTTCCCTGAAAAACAGAATTAAAGAAGGGGAGGGAAAGGGGGAGAGAGAAAAATCTACACAAATGAAGAAAAACCAAAAGAAGAATATGGGTCTTTCCCAGACCCCTGGGAGAGCAGACACTGAGAAAACTGACTTCTGAATGCAAACAATGAAGAGCCCCCAGAACGACTGGTCTCAAACTACAAACCTAGATATCAAGACATTAATGGAGAGATTGAAAAGAATTGAGGAGAGTCAAGAAGAAACTAGGAAGGAGCTGATATCTGAGATAACAGTAATAAAGAATACTGTGAATGAAATAACAAACTGATAAGCATGGAAAGCAGAATTAACCAAGCAGAAGAAAGAATCTCAGAGCTTGAGAAACAAAATATAGAACTAACCCAAACTCTTAAAAACACAGAAAACAAATTCATAAAGACAGAACAAAACCTTCAAGAGATGAGCAATTACTTCAAGAGACCGAACCTAAGAGTAATTGGCCTTCCTGAGGTAGAGAGACAGAGACCACAGTGGAAGAAATTTTCCATGAGATCATTTAAGAAAACTTCCCTTATCTAGTCAGTGATGCAAAAATTCAAATACAAGAGATTGAAAGAACCCCTGCAAGACAACAAATGAGAAGATCAACTCCTAGACACAATAATTTGCCTAAACAAAGTAGGCATAAAAGAAAAAATCCTGAAGGCAGCAAGGGAAAAAGGCCAGATCACCTACCATGGAAAACCAATTAGAATAGCAGCAGATTTATTTATCTACAGAAACCCTGCAGGCTAGGAGAGCTTGAAGTCCTATCTTCAAAGTCCTAAAAGATAAACAATTTCAACCAAGAATAACCTACCCAGCCAGGTTAAGCTTCATTAGTGAGGGAGAATTAAAATCTTTCCCAGATATCCAATCCCTAAGAACTTACGCTGCCGCCAAACCACCTCTCTACATGAAACACTTAAGAAAGTAGTAAACACAGAAGAAAAGGGAGAAAAAAGAGCAATGTTCTTCACAAGAGTACGGGAAAAAGAATAAAATATACATGAACCAACCCCAAAACCAAAAGAAAGACAAAAAACGAAGTGGAAGAACAACTCTATAAGAACTCTATGATAGGGACGAACTCTCACATTTCAATACTTAGCCTGAATGTAAATAGACTAAATGTACCACTGAAAAGACATAGAATGGCAAAATGTATAAAGTATCACCAGGCAACAATATACTGTCTTCAAGAGACCCATCTCACTAGAAAGGACATGCAGAGACTCAACATAAGAGGATGGGAAACAAATTTTCAGGCAAATGGAACACAAAAGAAAGGAAGAGTTGCAATCCTAATTTCAGACAAAATACCATTTAAGCTATCAAAAATTAAAAAAGATACAGAGGGCCACTACCTAATGATAAAAAGTTCACTCCATCAACAAGAAATATCTATCCTAAATATATATGCATCTAACATAGGTGCACCAACTTATATAAAGCAACTTCTAGGAAAACTAAAGAAAGATATTGACTCTAACACCATCATAACTGGGGACTTTAATACCACACTCACAACCCTAGACAGATCATCAGGACAAAAAAATCAGCAATGAGATCTGGAACCTCAATGTGACTCTTGACCAAATGGACTTAATTGATACCTACAGAACACTCCACCCAAATACCACAGAATACACATTCTACTCATCACTGCATGGAACGTATTCTAAGATCGAGCACATAATTGGCCATAAATCAAGCATAAGCAAATTTAAAAGGACCAAAATTCTACCATGCACATTCTCGGACCACAGTGGAATAAAAATAAACATTAAAACCAACAAAGTCCCCTCAAAACCCACAAAGATATGGACACGAAACAGCAGGATGCTAAACAAACTCCTGGGTCAATGAAGAAATCAAAACGGAGATCAAAAGATACCTGGAAACAAATGAAAATGAAGAAACATCTTACCAAAATCTCTGGGATGCCATGAAAGCTGTAGTAAAAGGGGAATTTATATCCCTACAAATACACAGGAAGAAAATGGAAGGATCACCAATTAACAGCCTAACAAGCCACCTAAGGAAGCTGGAAAAGTAAGACCACAAAAACCCTAATTTCAGCAGAAGGATCCAGATCACCA